TAAGGCATATGCCTTAAGGCCTCGTGTAAGGTGACAAAAAACTCAAAAAAGTGACAAGTTACATTTGAAACATAAAATTCATCTACAACCGACGAGCTTGACCTTCCATTTTCAATTTTTTGTGTCACTTTTATGCAACAAGTTACATTTGCATCTTTCTATAATATGTTTGATGTCACAATTTTTGTGGAGGAAGCAAACATGAATGTAACTACAATTTCTAGTAACCAGAATACACATATCATGGACCGACATTTGGATATTTACATAGGGATGTGTATGATGTACATGTTGCATCAAACCAAAACATAAAACACATATTAAAGCTTTAATTTGATAAGTAGTCCCAAAATTACATCATTAAAGCGTCTACTGCAACCTATCGAAACAGGTGTGATGCCAAAAAATCATAGATAACTTTGTAAATAAAAACCTCATTGAGAAACACAAAAAAACTCGTTAGAACAAGATAATGTACACAAGGAAAGCAGCCATCTCCTTTATTTGCATTAATCTTCCACCAGTGGTCCCAAATCCAAGTGGTTGATAAAGCGCAGCAGCAGTAATGAAGGAGTGTGAAAATCTCAGAATCCTACGGCATGAGCCACTAGTGTATTCCTCTTAGCGAAAAGATCCTCAAATTGATAGGTCCGGAAATAATCTGTAATCGTTAAATTACAGCAGTAAATCGACAAGCCTTTACACTCCCATCCTTTATCGTACATTTTCTTCCCCTTCACCTTCTTCACTACCAACGGCGGAGTTGATGATTCTTCCTCGCTCGCAATAACAACCATAGCCAGGACCACCATCAAACATCCAATACCAGCCATTTTTTAGCACATTCTTTTGCTACTAAACAAAAAGGAAATACCACAAATTATCGAGTAACTCCACAAGGAAAATGTGAGAAGAATGGGCAAAAAGGAAATAATAAAGGAAATGGAGATTTACATTCAGATTTTGGTCCAAGAGAAGGAATCGCACGTTGAGTTCGGATTTTGCTCTGGAGGATTTCCACAAATGAGGCATTTATGGGGGATTGGGTTTGCTTTAGAATCGAGTTTGGGTTTGATTTTAGGACGTAAACAATACTTCTTTCAAATGTTTAATTAATTTAAAGGGTATTAATCAAAACAAAAATAGGGTATATTGCCTAATTTTCCCAAACAACAACCCATAAACAAAAGGACTTGGGCTACCTACTAAAATACAAGCCCAATTAGATAAATAAAAGAGAAAATTACCCCAAATCCTACTTTTCAAAAATTCATATTAAAAAATGAGGTG